ATATATATATATATATATATACACACACACACACACATACACACATATATATATATTTTCATTGATTTCAGATAGGGAGAGAGAGAAACATCAATGATGAGAGGGACACATTGAACGGCTGCTTTCTGCACACCCCCTACTGGGGATCGAGCACGTAATCCAGGCATGTGCCTTTGACCAGAATTGGACAAGGGACCCTTCAGTCCACAGGCCGACGCTCTGTCCACTGAGCCAAACCAGCCAGGGCTGTGCCTTTGCCTAGAGAGCTGACTGTCCCTGGAGAGCAACTGCCACTTCAGCTGCCCCACCCCAGCGCCCCCAGTGTCTGAGCCACAAGTTCCTGCAGTGGGTGGGCAGCACTGGGAGCCGTGTGTGTAGTTGGGAGGGGGGTGCTCTCTGACCTCCGCAAGGTCCCCTGGTCACTGGTTTCTGCTTCCTGGCCTGTTTGTCCAGCAATTAGCTGGAAGCTTTTGGTGTTCTACCCCCTCCCCCTTGACCCAGCAGCCGTGAGGTTGAGTGGTGGTTGTGGGGGGACTCTGCCACTTTACTTCCAGGCAGAGAAGGACCCGTAGTAAGGGCTTTAGTGGGTGGGTGACACTTTGCCCAGCTTAGCACCTCCTTTCCCCAAGGCTCAGCCCACCCCCATCGCTCATCCTGAGAACTGGGTTCCTTTTCTCCGCTCACCCCCTCTCCCGCTGCAGACTGCACAGCGCAAGATCAGGGAAATCGTACAACAGGTGAAGCAGCAGGAGCAGAAATACCCTCAGGGAGTCGCCTCACAGCGCAGCAAGTGAGGCTCCCACAGGCACCAGCAAAACAACGGATGAATGTAGCCCTTCCAACACCTGACACCACGAGACCAAACACAGCCAGCCAGATCGGGAGCAAACCAAAGACCATCCTGAGGAATGAGAAGTCTGCGGAGGCACAAGGGCTCTGCAGAGGCCCTGAGGACCTGGTGGCCAGGAGAGGGGGCGGGGGGAGGCCGGTGGCTCACGGCCCAGCCTCCCGCCTCCCCGGGCCTCTGCAGGCTGCCCAGCCATCCACTTCACCGCCCACTCGGATCTCTCCGTAACTCCCACCACGCTATCCCTTTTAGTTGAACTAACATAGGTGAAGGTGTTCAAAGCAAAGCAAAATTCACTTTCCTTTTGTGGAAAATTGTCTCTGTACATGTGTGTACATATTAGAAGGGGAAAGATGTTAAGATATGTGGCCTGTGGGTTACACAGGGTGCCTGCGGCGTTAATATATTTTAGAAATAATATATCAAATAACTCAACTAACTCCAATTCTTAATCAAGTATTAATTTTTTTTCTTTTTAAAGAGAAATCAGGCTTTTCTAGACGTTAAAGAATCAAGTCATTCTTTGGGAGGTCTAATGGTTTAATAAGGAGCTTCAAGGCCACCCACACAAATCCACCCAGAGGGAAATCTGGTCAGGACACTCGCGGCAGCTCCGGGTCACCTGTGTACGTCAACAGAAGGGATACCGTCTTCATCCCTGTCGAGCTCACACCCATTTCTCTTTGCTTCACGGGTTTTAAACTGGTTTTTGCATACCGCTCTATAAGTCTGTCTCTGTTTATCTCTCCCTGTCCATCCTCCCTCCCGTCCTTCTCCACACCCATCCTTTTAGTCCCCACACCCCCTGCCTCAGTCCCACTCTCTATGCACCCCCAGGCAAAGCAGTGCTCTGAGTATCACATCACACAGAAGGAACAAAAGTGAACACACAAACCAGCCTCAACTGACACTTGAACAGAACAAGAGTCAATGGTACTTGTCCTAGCTTTTCGGAAGAGGAAACAGGAACCCATCGAACCAACCAAAACAAAGAAAAACCCCCGCAAAGAAAGAGTATATTTTGTCTTTTTTACATTTTGGTGTATAAGCCATCCATTTTCAGCAAAATGATTTCTTTCTTTTGAGAAAAAAAAAAAATGTGGAAGAAAATAGCAATTTACATGAGGTCGTTGGCCCAGGGCGTTAAATTTACAGATTTTTTTTAAAAGAGAAAAACACACAAAAAAAGCTACCTCAGGTGTTTTTTACCTCAGCACCTTGCTCTTGTGTTTCCCTTAGAGATTTTGTAAAACTGATAGGAGCATTTTTTTATTTTTTTAATAAAAATGAGTTGGAAAAAAAATACAATTATCAGCTGCCAGCCCGGAGAAGGTGACGGTCCAAGTGTGCGCCACCCGCTGTGCGTCGCCTTCCGCCAGCCAGGAGCCCACGTGGCCTTCTTTTGGACAAACCTTGAAAACGTTTATTAAAAAAGAAAGATGACCAAGAGACACAGAGAAGATGTTGGAGATGTCCTGAATCTCACTAGGGTACGTGCCATTAGGGCTTTTGCGCTAAAGGATGGACATGTACTGGTTTCTGTGAACAAGCCATTTTACCATCAGACTGCAATGCCAGTTTCCTCTACTGCAAACAGTGTTCTGTGACAAAAACAAAAACAAACAAACAAAAAAAAGAAATATATCCAGCTAACAAGATCCTGGTGTCTTGGTCTCTTATTTCGCCTGTCCCAAGGGGTCAGCCGAGTTCCAGCTCTGAGGGGACTTGGGAAGCGGGCGGCACGTACCTTTAGGACTGGCCAGCTCCTCCCAGGAAGTGGCTGGGAGAAGCTAAGTGTAGTCACCAGACCAGCAGCAGCATTAGCTCCGGGGAACTTCTTAGAAATGCAGGTTCTTGGGGTCCACCTTGAATCAAATTCTGGAGGTGGGGCCCCACAGTCCGTTTCAGCAGGCCCTCCAGGTGACTGCCATTGGTGCTCAAATTTGAGAACCACAGAACCAGAGGGATGGGCTGTGTATCAAGCGAGGTAAGACCAGCCTGTCTTTAATGAACTTGACGCCTGGCCAGGGAAGGAGTTTATCTTTCTGGGGGAGAAGAGGGAGGATAATGGGCCTGACAAGTCAAGGGAAGAGGTACTTCCCTGCTCCCCAGAAACCACACTGAAAGTGTTCCAGGAGATTTGAACAGGCGGATGAGAGCGGTCCTGTTCCCTTTATGAGCCCATGTTCATAGAGCTGTGGGCTCTACCAGAGATTGCTGGCTGCTAAAAGCCCAAGCAACTCAGGAATGAAGAGTTGGTACTTGACCGCCAGGGGTGGTCAGTCAAGCTTTTTGGGGTGACCACTCAAAGCCCAGCAGGGACAGGCGGAGGTGAACTGATGGGTTCCACAGTGGCCACATCCCCCTTCTAACAAACTGAGGGCTCCTAACTCACTTAAAATGTGTTCTTTGCCTATGTCCCATCCACACTCCTGATTTCCCTTTTATTTTCAATATCTGTGATGCTGATTTTAAAGTTTTTTTGTGTAGAAGCCAGCGGTTCCTCTCACGGCTGTGGTTGGCATGGACATGGGCAGGAACGTGCTATCCCCTCATGTGGCCATTAGAAACCCAAGTATCTGTGGCTTCATCTCCCTCCCCACTCAGGCCTCAAGCCCACTGCCCACAGAAGAGGAAATGGGACATAGTCTGCTGGCCCGAGAGAAGCCGGGGCTCCTGACAATCGGGGTTATTTCTGAAAACCTTTCCCGTGGTTGAGGTGTGCATGTCAGATGAACAGCCAGAGAAATGGCACACCCTTAAAGGAAGGGCCTTAAATGTAGGCCCGAGGGCTTGGTGATGGATCTGTGAGGATGCGGAGCAATCGGCAGGAGAGGAGGCATAACGCAGGACCCCTCTTGGCTCTGCTGCTCAGATTTCCTTCCTTGGCCTTTATTCAGGTGGCAAAATTGGAGGTTTAACTCCAGCTCCTAAGCTGCCCGTTTCCAAAATATGTGTCTGAACATATGAAAGACAAGTGAGGAGGTGCTAACAGACGCCCTACTTGCCATGGGACAAAGCACCCAGAAGTGGTCCCAAGGTTGCAGCAATGGAGGGGAGCCACACGGAGAGGCAGACGGCAGGAACGAGGCCTGCAGGCTTGTTCCTAGCCAAGGTGTTCTCTCGGCCCGTTTTCTGAGAGCCCGGGTGCTGGGTTGTTTGGCACTTGATGCAGGCACTTCTGAGCTTCCCCAGGGCTGCGCGAGCTGAGACCACCCTTTACAGGACGGGGCCTACCCCGTCTTACCTACATAAGAGCAGCCGCCTGTGTGTGCCTTGTTCCCACATGTGGACTCAGGCAAACGGTATTTCATCTATAAATCCCAGACTTTCTGTCTTGACAAGACATCCTGACATCCCAGAAAGTCCTAATTGAGCATGATTTTATGAAAAAAATTAAATGGCAGTTGTTAAATGGAGACTTAGGTCAATACCAAATGTTTTGAAATTCATTAACCTCCGAGACTCAAAAAGCCCCTCCCTGATCCTTTGGATTGACCCCCTTGAAAACCCGAGACCCACAGTGGTTTTGCATGTGCTAACATCTCCTAGGAATGGTAAGGAGGCCTGAACACCCCTTCTGTCCTAGTTACCTCCCCCGCTGCCCCAACTCTGCCTTGAGATGTCGACTCCAACAAGGAGTTCTGGACGGGAAGGATGGCAGGCTGGCGGCAGAGGAGAAGAGGGTTCCAGCAGAGGAGAACTTACAAACTTGAGAAAAGGGAGAATCGATAGAGGTTTAGGGGGGTTTCAACCAAGAACCAAAGGAAATGAGTAACCATAGATAGAAGGCATCTTGACAGGATGGGCAAAGGTGGGGAAAAACACTGGACTTCTAAGGGAAGTAGGGAAAACTGATAGATAACCTGGCTTCCATTTGGGATGGAAGTGACTCAGTGACTGAGTAGACAGATACGCAATAAGGACTGGAGTATGACAAGCTCTTGGCATAGTCATTCCTACATCCCTGGGGAAGGAAGTAGGCAAGAGAAGCATCCCCATGGTAACAATTATGAAAAGCCCACACCGTAGGTATTGAGAGATTAGCTTGAATTGTATATGCATCCAAATCTCTCATTGTCTACAGCCTGATGGAGATTTCTTTGTCCTGCTACCACTAATGTCAAATAACATGACTAGCAAATTCCCGTCTACTGTCAATTTTTGCTGCTGCTTTTTCTTTCCTCTCAACATTCCCTTTAAGGTGCGTGCTGGTGAATTAAAATTTAAGACATCCTGCATATGGGCTAATTTTCTATTCTAGCTCACATTAGCCACATCCAGGTGCTGTCTTTCCAGAAGCCAGGAGTGTTAATAGCTCTCTCAGGAATAGCTGGTATAAAGAGAAAACCTCAGAGAACAGAATTATACTCCAGCTTAACCTCAACGCTCCTTGTATTCTCTTGTGAAAGCAAGATGCCCAGATGCAAGGCGGTTTGTTCCCATGGGTGACTGGGGGCACTGCCTCTAATCTCAGATGTGGCTGACAAACAAGAACATTCCCATTTGCCTCCAGTAACCTTCAGTGATCAGGACAACCAAAGGCAATTTACATATTTTATTTGGAGCCGGTAGTTTCTTGAGATTGCTGTGGCCACCACAAATTTGATGGATTAAAACAACAAATTTATCTTCTTACGGTCCTGGAGCCCCAAGTCCAAAATCAAGGTGTCAGCTGGGCCATGTTCCCCCGAAGGCTCTGCCAACTTGGGTGGCTCCAGGCTTCCTTGGCTTGTGGAAGGAATACTCCAGTCTCTGCTTCCAGTCTCATTGCCTCCTCTTTCCGTTAAAAACAAACAAAACAACCTCCAAACTCGTTTATAAAGTAACAGAGCCTGCCCAGACCACCGTTACTATAACACTGGGTGTCTTTCTCCAGATTTTGTTTTAGATGCATAAACAGATTTCCCCCCACAAAAAATGGGTATAAAATATCAAGTGCCTAGGCCCATCTTACTGCCTCCTCTTCTGTCTCAAAACTCCCTCTGCTTTTCTCTTATTCGGCATGTAAATGCACTTAGGGCCCACCCAATAATCCAGGGTAAATTCCTCAAGCAGTGTGGTGATTGCAGGGTGAGGGGGGGGGGGTGGACTTATGTTCTCAGAGGCCACCATTCAGCCCACTGTATATATCCAGGTTAGACTATAATAAAGTATTTTTTAAACAGAGAAATTTGAATATGGACTGAGTATTAGATGATATCACCAATTATTAATTTTGTTAGATGGTAAAAATAACATGGGCTTTTTAAAAGTTAGGGAGACATTCTTAAGTATTTAGCTAGAATGACATGTCGGGGTTTTGCTTTAAAATACTCCAGGCCCTCTTGTCCCCTCTGAATAAAAGGTGAGTAAAGATGAGCCACATTTGCCCAGATGGTGTGGCTCAGTGGTTGAGCTCTGACCCACGAACCAGGAGTTCACCGTTCAATTCCCGGTCAGGCACATGCCTGGGTTGCAGGCTTGATCCCCCGGAAGTAGCTGATCAATGATTCTCATCATTGATGTTTCTCTCTCTCCCCGCTTCTCCCTTCCTCTGTCTGAAATCAATAAAAAACATTAAAAAAAAAAAAAAAGATGAGCCATTTACTAACTGCTGGAGGGTAATGATTGTGTATCTTATAAAATGTAAGTCAATGACTATAATCTCTTGTGCCAGAATAAGTCCAAGTATCAATGAGTGATTTTCCCCTGATTTTATTGCTATACATAACTTGTCAGAAATTTTATTTCTAAGAATTTCTCCTAAGAGCATAACCCAAATATTGTGCAGTGTGGTGTGTGCAACAATACTGGATTAAATGATTTACGTTATAGCCATACACTGCAAAAGTATGCTGCTATTAAAATGTCAATATTTATTGACATGAAAATATGGTCAAAATAAATTAAATGGAGAGGGGTTATATAGCCATATATCGTATCAGTCCATATTTGTTAATAACAAAAATATATACATGCGCAAGCATACACAACACACAATTACACATATGAAGGAGTATATGCCAAAGACCACGATTTATATCAAAATGTTAACACAATGTTATTAACTCTGGATGGTGAGTTTGCAAAATTCTTATTCTTTACCTTTGAGCAGTATTTTTTTTTTCTGCTATGAACACCTCATACAGATATAATTGAAATATAAGTGAGAACCACAGACTTTAGGATCACCATATGATCTTCAGGAGGCAATATGTGTGCTTGGGGTAGGAAGCAACACTTGCTTCCAAGAACTGTGTTGCCTCTCCTGACACTTTCCAAAGCGTATCCATACAGGTTCCACGAGTGTCACAGGAAGGGCCAAGTGTCCCAACTTTTCAGAAATGGTCGATTAAGACAGTAATTCATTCTGTTGACTATGCATCACTTGGCACACATTCATTGAGCCACAGAATCCTTTGATCTGCATCCTACATAGATTAGGACTTTTACTTAACATATTTTAGGAAATATCAATGTGAAACCCTAAAGAACAAGGACTATTTATACCCCACATTTCTGCTGAGCTTCTGGCCTGTTTTCTCAGGTTGATTCATCTCAAAACAGCCTCATATTTATCACATCTTTGCAGTCTCAAGCTTTATAGTTTTAAATATAATTTGCATCTTGCTGCCAGTTCATTTAGAGCAGTGTTTTTCAAACTGGATTTCCATCTACTAGTGGGTTTAGGAATCAACTTGGTGGTCACAATGCACATTTTTAAAATATCAAGATAAAATTCAGAGGGTAGTAAGAATAAGTCATGTTTTTGTAAAACTTGTGTCCACATATACTCATGACACACAATATGAAATACATTTATTACTGAGTTGCAATAAAAAAAAAGTGAAAGCCAACGAATTAAAGAGATTAATTTATTGGGGAATAGATAAAATGAACACTTATTTCAAACACCCAAACCCTTTCCTTGTATATAATTGGTAAATTTAAATTAAAAAATTATCAAAGGAACATAGTAAGCTAGATCTCCAACTTAAAAACAAGTACCAAAAGTTTAAATACTGGTTCCTTAAAGTTTTTCTCAAACTACCATAAAGAATTTAGATTCTCAATTAGTTCACAAAAGCCAATTTAAACAATGTAGCTGCACTACAGTACTAATGTTATTACTTAAATTACCTTGTTTATTTATTGTATCAGAAGTTCAACATATCTCCAAGGACACATTCTCCCCACACCCACACCTTGGTCCCAGCACCAAGCAACTCAACATGCAGGCAAACGGTGACCATTGGGCAGGGCAAGCTGTGCTTCACAGTTCGGAGGAGGAAAAGACAGGAAGTCTAGCAGCCTAGGGAACTGAGGTAGAATATGGGGCCCTCCAGACATCTTCCACACGCCCCAAGCCTTTCCCCTCATCTGCATCCCAACTCTGGTACAAGGTCAAACATGACAAAGACATCTGCTTATCAACAGTGGTTTATTTTTTCTACTTTAATCAATTTTTTGGAGATTGCCTACTAAAAAAGGTTCACTCTACCTTTTTTCAGACCCTCAAACTGCTCTAATAAATATATATCATCTCACTGACTTTAATATTGGTAATTTCACTATTGATATATGTTGATAAAATCATTAACTTCTTATCACCTGATTACTTTTATCATAAACTGTTAAGATAAAAAAATTCTGTTACCAACAAATTTCTCTGCATCAAGACAGACATGGTCAGTGCCTAGAGAAGCATGAGTATCTCACATTAACTTCTGGAAGTCCGGGTTCTGTAGAACGCCATTCTCTAACTCTGCTCTTATGTCCTGGGAAACAGCTGCTCTATGAAGCCCCTCAGTAAAATGCTTAGAATGTAATACAAATAAATTAACCCCCAGCCTCACTTATATGGGCAGAACACAGACTGCCATTCCTGACAGGATTTACCCCACATGGAACAAACCTTCACCAAGGTACTACATTCCCAGGAGAACTTACTAGCGCTAAGTGGGAACCAGGTTTTCAGTATAATGCTACCCAGGCAATCTCTTTTTCGGCTGTGCCAGCTGCTCGATCCCAGTGCTCACTGGCCCCACTCCAGCAGCCCCGGGGAAGGAACCGAAGCTGCAGGAAGGGTTCTGTGCAGCCTGAGCCTGAGGGAGATGTGGCACAGCTGGCTCATTCTTTAATCACCACCTAAGCACACGTCCTCTGGTTTGCCCATCAAGTAGATGCAGCAGTTTAATCCACATCACAAGCCCCAGGTCCCACACCTAGACGTTCACATGTCTCAGGGAAACTGGCTGCAATCGCACGCCTCTGAGCAGCAGCCCGGGCCCTCCAGGGGCAGACATGTTCATTCATAGCTAACACATGCCCGCATTTTCTTGTTTTACCTCTTGCTTTTGTGTACCAGGAAAAGTTTGGGAGTTTAGTAGGGAAAGGGTCAGAAATCATTTCAGCATATACTTTTCAGGTTCTGCCAGGCAACCTTTTATTACATTGAAAAAGCAACACTAGGCACTAGATCTTGCAAAATATGTTTTGACCAATTCTAAACTTTCTGAAATTAAAAATGCATAACCACTGTAAATTTTTTAATGAACAAAAAAGTTAAATACAAACTTTCATATGCAAAATAGATTATTCTAACCTCAGAGCCAAGTACTAAATTTTCTTCCACAATTTTCCTTAGGGTGGAATGGGGGGTGGGGGGAATGTAAATCCTAATGAATACAAAACTTAATTTCAGCTTTCTATATAGAAAAAAAAAAAACGTTGAGGAAAAATAGCTTTAAACTGAATAGACCCTTTTGAAATAAACAGCTCAGGCCAGCCCTTACAATTCTGAGGTTTATCCTCAACCAGATCTGGGGTAAAAATGAAGATTTAGGGTTTAGTTACTTCAAATCCAGTTTCAAGAGCAGCGGTCACCTCATTTCCAGAAGGAAAAGTCTCTCTAGACCAGCGGTTCTCAACCTGTGGGTCGTGACCCCTTTGGCGGTCGAACGACCCTTTCACAGGGGTCACCTAAGACCATCCGCATATTAGATATTTACATTATGTTTCATAACAGTAGCAACATTACAGTTATGAAGTAGCAACAAAAATAATTTTATGGTTGGGTCACAACATGAGGAACTGTATTTAAAGGGCCAGAAGGTTGAGAACCACTGCTCTAGACCATTACAGTCTTCGGAAGATGCCTGGGCAGCCAAAATCCCTTGGCCACAGTCCCACTTTCCCAACACCATGCTGGTGCCGGAGTCTCTGCCTTCCCTGAAAGGCAATCAGAGCCCTACACCCCAGCGCTTCTCCTGGCATTTTCAAACCTCAAAAAAAAAAAAAAAAAAAAAAAAACCCCCCCCTTCAATTCAAGTTGGCAGTTACTGCTCCAACGTCAGAGAAGTCAACTAACACTTCCTTCCTCCCACCCCCACTGCTTTCCCGCTACATCTTCAGCAGGGAATGGCAGCTTGATTAACAGTCTTTTCAGAAATAAATAGTTCAAACAATTCAAAGTTAACTGTAAAAGAGCAGCAGAAAACAGCCACTGCCCATTATGTATGCAAATGAGTGAGCGAATGAATACATGTGAACACACACAGAAAACAACAGCTCATAGAATAAATCCTGCATTTTCCACATTCACAGGGCGGGGAAAAATCTTTTTAAAAAAAGTATTAATTAGCGTTTGTTCCTATGTGGGTTGAATAGTCCAGGCTCTGAGCAGGCACAGTCTTACAAACAGGTTGCAAGCAGCCCTCCGCATACCAAGTCAGGACACTAGGGTGCAGGGCCTTCATGCATGTCTGACAGCTCAGTACCTGTGAGAGAACAGGCGATGCAGGGACTTTTAAACCCACAATGCATGAGGTATATGAAAACGTTTGTCCATGAAAGAACCACCAGCAGCTAAGGGACTGGGCCAGGCATTCTCACAGCAACTGCTGATGAAGGATTTCCCACACCATCTTCTTCCGGAAGAGAGGCATCTGGTGCTGCAAAGAATCCACCAACAACATATACATTAACTCACTTGCACAGCATCAATAACTTTTAGGTGAATCATGCAAATAAAGTAAGACGCCATGTCCATTAGGTATGCCTTAACTTTTTTACATCCTGGTGCAGACTTATGAAGCCATGAAAAAGGAGGTTTATAATGTTTATTATTATACTAGCGGCCCGGTACACTAAATTTGTGCAAGGGGGGTGGGGGGGGAGAGGTGTGTGTTCCCTCATCCTGGCCTGCACCCTCTCCAGTCGGGGACCCCTTGGGAGAAGTCCTACCGCTGGTTTAGGCCTGATCCCTGGATGGGCCTAAACCGGAGGTTGGACTTCCCTCTTGTAATCTGGGACCGCTGACTCCTAACCACTCACCTGCCTGTCTGCTTGATTGCCCCTAATTGCCTCTGCCTGCCTGCTTGATTGCCCCTAACCCCTCTGCCCGCATGCCTGATCACCCTTAACCTCACTGCCTGCCTTCCTGATCACCCCTAACTGCCCTCCCCTGCCAGCCTGATCTCGCCTCAACTGCCTCTGCCTGCCTGATCACCCCTAACTGCCCTCCCCTGCTGGTCTGGTTGCCCCCAACTGCCCTCCCCTGCTGACTTGATCTCGCCCAGTCTCTGTCTCTCTTTGTTTTTCTCAGCAGTCCTCCAGGCCTCCCTGCCTCCCTGTCTCC